ACTTGGGTTTTGTGCATGGGGGGGGGACAAAAAGTGTGTGTTGGGTGTGTGTGAGACATTTAGGTTGTGTGTGTGTGTGCAGGGGGGAAGGGGGGACAAAAAGTAAGTGTGTTGGGGGGGTATGGCCCAGACACTAGGGGTTTGTGTGCATGTGTGTACAGGGTGGGGAAACAAAGTGTGTGCAGGGAGGTGTGCAGGGGAGGGGGACAAAAAGTGTGTTGGGGTGGGTGTGCGAGACACTTGGGTTGTGGGGGAGGTATTGGTGGGGTGGGTGTGCCAGACAATTGGGTTGTATGTGAGGGGGGGCAAAAAATGTGTCTGTTGGGTGGGGTGCCAGACACTTGGGTTGTGTGTGTGTGCAGGGTGGGGGGAAAAGTGTGTACAGGGAGGTGTGCAACTGAGTGTGTGCTGGGGTGGATGTGCAAGACACTTGGGTTGTATTTGGGGGGAAGTGTGTGTTGGGAGGTGCCAGACACTTTGGTTGTGTGTGTGCGTGCACGTGCATGTGCAGGGAGGGGGGGAAAGTTTGCTGGGGCTGTCTGCAGAGGGGAAGGGGGACAAAAAGTGTTTGGTGGGATGGCGTGGGTGTGCCAGACACTTGGGGGTGGTGCATGTGTGCACAGGTTGGGGGAACTAAAAGTAAGTGTGTTGGAGAGGATGTACGGGACGACAAAAAGTGTGTGTTGGGGGATATGGGTGTGCCTGACACTTGGGTTTTGTGTGTGTGTGTGCAGGGGGACAAAAAGTAAGCATGTGTGTGTGCCAGAAGCATGAGTTCTATATGTGTGTGTGTGGGGGGGGGGGGTTGGGAACAGGAAAAAAAGTGTATGTGTGTGTGTATGCATGTGCCATACGCATGGGTTGTGTGGGGTAGGGGGAACAAAGTGTGTCAGGGTGTGGGGGGATGTGTGCCAGACACCTGGGTTGTATGTATAGGGGGATGGAGGACAAAAAGTAAGTGTGTGTGTGTATGTGTGTCCATGACCCTTATTTTTGTTGTTCTGTGTATCTTTTGAAACTAGTCACACTGTGTGTGTGGGAGGTGTTAGATACTCATGGCTTCTTCCAGGTGTGTGTGTGTGCGCACATCTTTTTCTGTAGACTTTTACTGATGGCTTTGTACACTCACCTCTGTGTATGGTGGTCAGGAGGGGGGTTGTGTGTGTGTTCACTGTGTGGATAGGTGTGGATTTCTCCCAACTGGCTCCTTTTAGTTACCTCAGGGTGTGTGTATAGCTGCGTGGTGTGTGTGTAGTTGTGTTGTTGGTGTGGTGTGTGAGGGGCTTCCTGTGTGTTGGGTAAGTATACAGTGTGTGTGTGTGTGTGTGTGTGTGTGTGTGACACCTGGATTGTGTGGGGGAGGCAGGACACCGGGGTCCTGTGTGTGTGGGACACTTGGTGTGTGTGTGCATGTGTGAGACACCTGGGTTCTGTGTGTATCTGTTTTGTGTGTTTGTGGGACACCCTGGGGGGTGACACCTGGGTTCTTTGTGGAGGTGTATGTTTATACCAGTGAATTCTTGACATTTGTGCATCAGGGATGAGGAGTGTGTACTTTTGTAGCCTTTAAGAGAAGTTGCGATCTGTGTGTGTGTGTGTGTGTGTGTGTGTGTGTGTGTAACAAGAACCTGGAGACAAGGATATGTGCGTGTGCGTGTGTGTATGCCTGACCATGTGCTCACCGTTCTGCCTGGGTCTGTGTTTCCAATATAGTTGTGTGTTGCTATGGTTTGTGTGAGTGTGTGTGCATGTGCATGTGTGTGCATGTGTCCTGGACGCCTAGGTTCTGAGCCTGCACTCCCCCCTCCTCCGGTGCTCCATAGGGCAAAATCTCCCCAAAAGCCCCAATTTCACCCTCGGCACTTCCTTGAAAACACCAATTTTTGTGAAATACAGGAAATGCCCTTTTCCACTGCCAAAACCCATCCCCTGCCTCAGTCTTTGCAGCTTTCTGCCCCCAAATCACCCCAAAAACATGGGTTTTACTGGGACAATAAAAAACCTTGTGGGCATGCGTGGAGGGGGGTGAAAAATAAACCCCCTCAGCAACCCAAAAATGGCCTTTTTCTCCCCAAAACGTCCCCCATGTTATAAAGAGAGGGAGGTGCTCCTCACTCCTGACCTGCAGCCTCCTGTCCCCCCACCATTGTCCCAGTCTACCTGGGCATTTGAACTAGTTCTGGGGTCCAGAGGCCTCTCCCTTATGACTCGAGAGGAGGGAAGAGGAACCCAGGTGTCTGGGCCCCCCAGACCTCTTCCACAGAGCAGGGGGCGGGGCGCTCATTTGGGACTCCTGGGCGCTCTCCTGGGTCTGGGAGGGGCAGGAGGAGGCCACTGTCCTTTTGCAGGAGGAGGGGTGTGTGTGTGTGTGCGCGTGCAGCCACATGGGTCCGTGTTCAATTGAGCTGGGAGCGCACACACACACACACGTGTGTGTGTGTGTGTGTGTATGTAGTTGCCAGCTTGTGTTAGGGGCCTGCATGGTGCAGGGCCTGCTGTTGCCCGGCTGGACTGTTGGGGGCAGTTGTGCAGTTGGCATGGCGGTTGCGGTGCTGCTGTGCCCTGCAGGGGTGTAGTTGCATTGTGTTACTTGATGGTGGGGTTGTGTGGTTGCATGGCAGAACTGCATAGCAACCGGTTGTGCCCAGATTTGGTGTGGTTGTGTTACGGCACCACTGGGTTGTTGTGTTGGGGTGTGTCGCCAGTGCAGGTGGTTGTGCTGTGTGGCTGGGTTGCATTGCACACACCCTATGGCTGCGCCCTGGGTGGCTATGGTTGTGGTCTGCTGTCACAGGCTTGCGTGGCTGTGTCAGGGGGGTTGTGTTGTGTTATGGGGGCTGTGGGGTTGCATTGTTGGCTTGTGTTACGGGGGTGTGGGCTTGCGTTGAGTTACAGGAGGGGGGGTTGTATTGTTCTGTTGAATTACAGGGGAGTAAGGGTTACATTGTTGCACTGTTATGGGGTGGGGGTTGTGGTGTTGCTTTGTGTTACAGGTGGTTGTGTTGTGTTATTGCATTGTATTCTACAGCCGTGTGGCACATGCAGCATCTGGGCCCTGGCTGAGTGCAGTTGTATCACACGTTTGTGTGCTGTCACAGGGCCATGGTGTGCATCGGGTTGCATGTGGAAAGGCCAGGGGGGGCGACCATTGTGCCCCGGGTGGGGGCAGCTGTGTTGTGTCGTGTTGTGCTGCTGGGCCGAGGGTTGTGTTGTGTGGTGCACAGATCAGTTGCTTCACTCCTGTGCTGTGTGTGTGTGCATTTTAGATGCCTGGGTTGTGTGTCGGACACCTGGGTCGTGTGCATACATGTGTGCATGTGTGTGTGGGTTTCTAGCACCGTAGGGATCCCAGGCATCCGAGCTCTTGGCCCGCGGAGAACCCAGGCACCCGGGCAGGGCTGACGGCAGTGCCGTGTCCCCGCAGGTTTGCAGGCGCAGGCGGCTATGTGCTGTACCCACAGATTGGCGACCGGCTAGACCTGATCTGTCCAGGGGTGCGGGGCGGGCGTGTGGGGCTGCCGGGCGAGGCCTACGAGTGGTACAAGCTGTACCTGGTGGGCGGCGCAGCCGCGGCGCGCTGTGAGCTGCCCCCCACTCCTGGCCCCGCACCTGGCCCCGCGCCATCCGGCCCCACGCCTGCCCTGCTGCTCACCTGTGACCGGCCTGAGCGCGACGTGCGCTTCACCATCAAGTTCCAGGAGTTTAGTCCCAACCTCTGGGGCCATGAATTCCGTGCCCACCAGGACTATTACATCATCAGTGAGTGACCGTGGCGTGGGGGCCCCAGGGGGGCTGTGACATCCTTGTGGAGTGCCCCAGGCTTCCCTTTGGGGTTGGGGTGTGTGTGACATCATCACTGGGTGAGCTGGGGCCCCCTGGGGGGCTGTGACATCATCACAGGGTGTCCCAGGGTCCCCTGGTAGGGCTGAGTGCCTGGACACCTGGGTTCTTTAGCTCTGGAAGGGCGAGGGCTGGGGGGCGAGGTCTGGGACACTCGGGTACTCTCCCGGCTCTGGGGGGGAAGGTGGGGTGTGAGGGCTGTCCTGGACTTTTGGGTTCCCAGCGGGCGGGTGCTGGCCCTTTAAAGGGCCCCCCTGCCCAGTGAAAGCACCAGCTCAAGCATGGCTAAGCCGAGGAGATGGGCGCCCCCGGCACCTGCGCACACCTTGCCCCCACCGTGGGACCCAGGCTCAGGCCTCGCCCCACCAGGCCCTCTTCCCCTCCCAGGGAATCCAGGCGTCTGGGAGTGAGGGGCACTGGCAGGGAGGGGAGCAGGGCCTGGTGGGGGAGATGGCTGGGCACCCTGATGCCTGGGTTCCCTGCGGGTCCATCCATCACTGGGGCTGGATTTGCTGAGAACAGCAGAGCGGTGACCTAGTAACTGCGCGCGTGTGTGTGTATGTGTGAGAGAGACACACCTGGGTTCCCCCTGTGATGATGTCCCTGCTGATGCCATGGCAGCGAGGCAGGGCAAGGGCTGATTCCTAGCAGAGAGCCCCTCTCTGCTCCTACACAGCAGCCCCTGCCCCCAGCAGAAGAGAACCTGGGAACCTGGGGTCCTAACCCACATCCCACCCTAGCAGGCACCCCCTGCTAGACCCCCCACTGCTCCCCCGGCCCTGCTGGTGCCCCTCACTCCTGACCTGAAGCCCCCTTATGCTGTCCCCCCACAGCCACGTCCGACGGCACCAAGGAGGGGCTGGAGAACATGAAAGGCGGTGCCTGCCTGAGCCGGGGCATGAAGGTCATCCTCAAAGTGGGGCAGAGTGAGTTGAGGGCCCGGATGCCTGGGTTCCCTGCCCAGCTCTGTGAGGGGAGGGGGTCTGTGGGGGTCAGAGCAGGGGGGCGGGGTGGCCAGATGCCTGGGTTCTCTCCTGCCTCCAAACCCCCCCACCTTTTTCCTCCTGTCTGAGTTGATTTTGCTGATTCCTGCT